TTGCCTGAACATAACCAAGTAGTTTTGTTGCCTAAACATAACCAAGTTATGTTTTTTGCTTTGTTTTGTTTCAATTTCCGTTTTGATGTTGTTCCAAATTAAATGAGAAAAAGTGCAACCATAATCTGGGAGAAAATACTTTCCCTTCAAAGAATGCTGTTTAGTTGAGATGTATGAAAGAAGCAACTGTGTTTGAAAACAACAGGTCCTAAATCTAAAATTAGGCAATTTATCTAAATACAAGTCATTTAAATTAAAGACCAATGGTTTGTTTTCCTTGTTCTTTAAAAAGTGACTTTTTTTACAGTTGAATTGTTGTGCAGTTGAATCCGAAAAGTAAATTTCCTTAAAATTAGCAACATTAAATACCTATGAAGTTTCATTAGGACACCCTAATGAGCTCTTTTTCAGAATTCGGGTGCTATTAGTTTGAAGAGACAGGACACTATATTTGCAGTCTTTTCCATTTTCTTTAGTGACTCTTTCAAATCGTTACTCAAAAGAAGTCAATTTAACTGTCAATAAAAGCTGCGAGGCTGATTTAAACTCGGTCCTGTCGGCACAAGTCATGCATCAGAATGAGTGTACGTGTGAGTGATTGAGTGTATGCATGATTGAGCGGTACCTGAGTAATTGATTATGTCTTAGGAAGTGTGTGTGTGTGTGTGTGTGTGTGTGTGTGTGAGAGGAAACTATTGAGTCTGTTTTGGACTAATTGTGTGTGCGCCAGAGGAGAAAGTGAGTGATTGATTGTGTTTGTGAGTAAGTTTGTCAAACTGACTGATTATACGTGAGGGCAAACACTGTTTCTAAACAGTGCTTCACTTTAATTTTGCTTTGTGATGGCAACAAAAAGGAGGGACATTAATGATAATGTAGCTGGTTAAAAATGTACAGGGAGGATAACCAGAACACATGTTTTCTTTCTCTCTCATGGTAATAATTGCCTTTACCATAATAACTGTTGGATGGAGGTTTGGATTGTCTCTTTATTTGCTTTTGTATCAAGTCAAGGTTGAACAGGAGGTTGCTTGGATAAGAGACATCATCATGAGCTGCGCACCAAAATCTCTTAGGGGCCGCTCAAATGTCGTGTTTTTTTGCGCCGTTAAATCCATTGTCGCCAATGTTGCGCAAAGTGCGCTCAAAAGCGAGGGAGGCGTTGCAAGGAACAACCAATCAGAGCAGATATCTTTTATGTTACCGTAAATATTAGTCTACGGTAAAATAATGGAGGAGGAGTTAATCATTTTAGTTCAGGACCAGCTGGATCTTTACGCCTGATCTGAAAACAATGTCCGACTTCACCCGACCGCCAGATACAGTTTCAGAGCAAAGCAGTTGTGAAGCGAGAACCACATTTTCGATGTAGTTCTCTTTACACTTTAGTCAAATTCAAAATACAGCATTTGTTAAAGTCGTAGTCAATTGTCACTCCTGAGGAGCTTGTGTGAACCCCTGACACACGGAGTTTAAGTCCTGGCTGATCAAACCATGCCAAGTTCAGAAGGTAAGAGGACAAAACCAAAGGACTCTGCCTGATCCTCCATGTTGGGATGTGAGGCTAATGACCCCACCCCATAAAACAAACAATCATCATCTCAAACAGCCTCCACAGCTTGCAGGGTTGGCTCAGCCTCCAGCTGCTGGTCTCAATTAAATCTCAGTGGGTGCTTTAAAGACGAATATCTAATGAGAAGCTGAGCATGTAACATTTAGGATGCCTTTAATTATGCACTTTAGCTAATTCATGGAACCCTTACGTTAGCTAGCGCAGACAACATCTGGTTGATTAAATGACAACTGTTCATCCACTTTTTGAGGTTTTTCGTACGCTGCTCAGCCAAACTATCTTACTTCTTCTACATCTGTGAATGTGACAAAGTCTTGAATTCATGTCGTCACATAACTACAAAGCACACTGTGTGCATCATTAACAGGTTACTGGGGCGTTGGCGAACTTGACTGAGGTCTGAGGGAGCACCTCAAGGGGGATTACAATTAGTCAAGTGGGGCTAGCAGCTTCCATCACTGCCATCTCATCCGTTTAACGTAACATTTGTATTTATTGTGGATTAAAAAAGTCCAGCATTTACAGGAAACTTCTTCTGCTTTGAGACGTTTAAAAACAAATCAATAATGTCTCTCATGTGAAAACAGGGAATTACTAGCTACATGCTTGCTAATAACAATAATATAGTATAATATATAGTAGTACAGTATCAGAGTGCTATTTGGCCACCAACACATTTGTCAATAAATCTTTACGGTTATTTGCTGGAGCAAGATCCCAAACATCTCGTCTCCGCTCGTATAAGCGTGGGCGAGGGAGAAACTAATTTTAAATAACCTCAGTGTACATTTGCATACATGTAATCTTTACTGTGTGTATGTGTGTGTGTGTGTGTGTGGGAGGATAGGTGAGGATGGATGTGTGAGTGTCTGTTTTTACTCATCTGCGTGGGTGTCTGCGCTGCATGTTCTGTGTAATATGTACTTGAACATGCAAGTGTTTGTGCAAGCTTGCTACAAAGTGTGTTTGAGTATGTGTGTGTGTGTATATGTGTGTGTGTGTGTGTGTGTGTTTGGTTGTGCGTTGTGTGGGCACATATGTTGCAGCTGTTTTTGCATTTGTGGCATTTGACAAGGCTGCTTCTTTGTTCCCGTGTAGTTTGATTCCTTCTCTTTCTCTCTCTCTCTCTCACACACACGCTCGCACTCAGCCACATCTTGGTGTGATGCCCAGATTTGAAATGCATAGTGTTTCTGCTGCTTTTAATGGAATACCACTGTATCTGCCTCGGGGGAAACCTAAACCTACTATTCCAACACTGGTTTCCAAATTGATACACTCGTTTACTGAATTCACGTGGCACTTTCTTCCCCCGTCTCCTTCCTACAGGCTGTTTTTACTGCTTAAATCTCAAACCGCGCCATAGAAAGGCCTCGGCGAGTCGAGCGCTTCCGTAACGGTAAACACATAACTGGTGTCAAATTAGCATAACCCAAGGTCACAAACAATCATGTCCCACCGACCCCGCAGATCAATTTCTTAGTTTTTCACAAAACGAGACGCGAGGCCGAGAGCGGCGTGCGCGTCCTTTCCCACGCCTTCCCCGAGCTTTGCTGCGAAAAAATCATTAATATTCATGGGGGCAGAACGTACACACTAGCGTGGGGCTGTCGCCGGAGCTAAGCAAGCGTTGCATCAACATTTATATTTTACAACGGTAGGCTGCCTTTGTTCCTGTGAAGGCCCCGTGGGGACTGCGGGAGCCCGGCGTAGCGGCGGTGTGAAGCACGGATTTAGAATGCAGAGGAGGTACTTACAATCGGGCTGGCATTGATGTAATCAGAGTTGCCTTGGCTGTACTCCACCTTCAAGGTGATTCTGGAGTGATCATCTGGAACACAAATGGGGGGGGGGGAATTCGGGGCATTCTGTTTTAGGAATGCAAGAGCAGCCATATCACACGCATTGTAATGAGACATTCCCTTTTCCACTAGAAGACAAGTAACCACCAAGTTGCTTGTTTGAGTAATCTCCTGATGTTCTTTTATTTTCCTCAGAGAAATCCTTGACTTTTGCCGTCTAGAAGGCACCTCGAACAACTTAACAGCAGGCGGTCATCCAGGTGAAGTAATTCACCAAAAGAGAAAACTAGGTGAGTCCAGCAGACAAGTTGCTCTGGATCCATCTTTACAAGCCAAGCCTTCGTCTTAGTAGTAGCAATAGATAACTTTTATTTTCAACACAGCGTTTCCAAGTGTTGGTGCCGCTGTCGCAAAGACATCCGGATCGGATCTAACAGAATATAGTAAGTTTCACAACTGCTTATTATAGAAAAGCCATCGCAAGAAAATACGTGTTTTGTTTAGATTATCAAATGGACAATTATTCACAGATGTTTGTTTCTGGCTGCCAGCGTTAGCGTTAGCAACATGGCTACCGTCCGAAGCAAGAAACCACCATTAGAATTCCAATTTGGGAAGCAGACAGAATTGCACAGCAAAAGTCTGACTCAGAGAAAAAATAATCTATCGGCATTCTAACTAAAGGATTCAATTTAAAGTCTAATGGAGATCCACAAGCTTTCAAAAACACCACATTTGTCAGGCTAAAGTTTTTGAGAAATGTGTATGAAAGTACGCACAATCCATCTTTCACTCAGTTTAAACATCAATAAAGTTGAAAGAAGAGTTTCAAAGAGGTGAAAGACATTATACTCCATAAAAAATTTGGGATTGCATATGGAGCTGTTCACTGTTGGTCGACGCAGTATGCGTATACATGCCCTACATCCTCCCTGGTCCACTGCAAGTTGTGTTTGGCAATTTGTTGCTATTTTGTACATTTTTCACTTATGAGCAGAACTCTCAAGTCTGCGGTGATAGTGGCAAAAGAGTTCTGAATTCTTTTTTTGGGCGAAGCCAGCGGTGCTTCAAATAGGAAGCACAATTTATTCCTGACAAACTGCTTTCCCTGCTGACAACCTGGATTTCATTAAGCCCAGGCGGTGAAGAGAATGGAATAGCACTTTTTTTTAGATGGGCCATTTCCACAGAAGCTTAGAAATTTTAATCATTGATGAGGTCGGTGCAGGAGAGCTTTAATAGAAAACTAATTTACAAGCCTTCTGCTCACTGCATCTGCTCCAGGTTTCTGATAATAGAGGCCGGGTTCAGAGTATACGGGGAGTGTTGTCGAGAGGCGGTGGGAGTAACGCTGCCATGTTTGGACGGCTGACATCGAGGGGTGGTATTTTGGCTCCACTCAGAAATTAGGGGTTGTCTGCCCTCTGTGAATAAAGAGGAGATATTACTGTCTTTCTTTTATATCTCTCTTTTTCTTCTACATGTGGTTCTCTTTAGTTTTGAACCAGGCGGCAACCTCCGGTTCTGAAGAGTGAAGCCGATGCTGAATGTCTTAAAGCTGCATTCTCTCGACTCCTTTGGTTGCAAAAAGAAGTCTGATTGCATGGAAGTCTATGAGAAAATGACTCTACTTCTCTCTTGATTTATTTCCTCAGTAAACATTGTAAACATGAGTTTATGGTCTCAATCTCTAGTTTCAAGTCTTCTTCAATACAGCATGATGTTCATTTAGTAGATGATGGTCCTTTTAGAGTCAAACAGACCATAAAGCAGGGGATGCTTTAGGGCGGGGCTACACGGTGATTGACAGGTCTCTGCTTCTACCAGAGCTGTATACGGCGTCTCTACGTCACTCCTCCGCCGTCCAAATATGGTAACTTCTGTTAATTGGTTGCAAAAAAGCCAAGATGGCGACGGCCAAAATGCCAAACTTGAGGCTTTAAAATGGCAGTCCACAAACCAGTGGGAGACGTCACGATGACTACATCCACTTCTTCAGTTTTTTGCTTTTTTTATGTTTTGAACATGCAAATAACAGCAAATACTTTGACAATACCGACAATTGAGAAGTAGATTGAAGGTTGATCATAAAATAAATGACATATTGAACTTTACAGATACTGTTTCACAACAACATTGGTTTGGTAGAAGCACATTGATTTACAGAACCGTTCACCGGAGACCACATGGTCCAATGTTCAAGTGTCCATTTAGTTGAGTTTCTGCATATGTTTAAACCTTACTACTTGGGCAACAATTGAAATGCAGGTAATGTGTTGCCATTTCTTATTGATTTAGTTGTCTATTGTTGAATCCTGATGATGGTTCTAGCAACATAAATCTGGAGACTTAAAGGCCAGTATTGATATTTAATAGACTTAATGAAACTTAATTTTCATGAAAACAAATACCCCCAAAGCATGTTGCTTCAGGTCCAAAACAGCAGCCAGAAGATGTGGCAATAAAGGACCCCCCAAACATCAAGGCCTCACGCAAGAAGCAGCCGTTGAAACGGTGGATATCAAAGCAGTAGTTCACTTACTCGATCACTTTCTGATTACTACCATCTAAATGCTAATGTGGGCTCGCCCACTAATCAAACCGAGGAACAGAGAGCGCTTACAGAAGAATCAAAACAGAGAGAGTTCATCGCTTACATGCCACCACAGCAGCAGAGCGGTTCTTCTTGGCGTTGCCGTCCTTCAGGCCGACGGTGCAGGCGTTGGGCTCGGCCTGATAGGCGCACAGCGCCTCCCACTCCTTCTCCAGGCGGTCCTTGTTCTTCATGTGATCCTCCATGTAGGACTGAGGGAGAGGAGAGACAAGAGAGAGAGAGAGAGAGAGAGAGAGAGAGAGAGAGAGAGGTGAGGAGGTGATGCAAACAGAGCTGGAGGTATGGAAAAGGGTTGTACAGAGATTTCTACACCAGTTTCACCGCCAATACACATCGCTACACGTTCATTATTAAGGTTCCTTTCATTCATCTTTCTATTCATCTCAAGCCTTCTTTATCTTCCTGAAGCAACAGATGGACAGGCTTTACCCCTTAAGAAAGAGGGTTTCAGTTGGTTTGTCAATCACAATATTTGTTTGAATCTCAGAGGAGCACCAGATAGACGCGCAAAGAAAAGTTCAAATACATGCCGAACTAGTGCTCTTCTACTGTGGTCGCCAGTCACTCACTGTCTTGACCTATCTGTCTGCACCTTATTCTGGTGCTCCACTGATGTGAGAAAGAAGACAAAGACAAATATGGAAAATAAGAATTGTTTGGAAATGCTGTTAAACCGTGTATGAGTTTCCACATGTATGTTTTCCTCATTTCAATATCTGTACAAAATCCATCGTAATCAGAGAGCGTATCCGTCTCATCTACTCGAGCTCTGTTTAAATGTTTCGGCCTGACCATTACCTTCCATACAATATTCATAAGTAAGGAAGGCGATGTGACTTTGATCAACTGTCTGCAAATGACCTTGGCACATGAGACCGTGAGCGTTGTTCACACTGGGAAGCCATAATCTGATGGTGGCCGGAGGAACTTTGTTTTTTAAAGCACAGCCTTGAAAATCGGCGGCCCGCGTGCACGAAATGTGGATCGTTTGTAATGGATGAGGGAATGAAATGAGCTGATGTGGTTCTTTAAATGGCTCCGGCGATGATTTATGATGGCAGTTACAAATGGGGCTGAACTTACTCAGAATTAGCTTCCCAAAAAAAAAGGCCTAATGGCTTTCTGCTAAAATGAGAGGAGTTTGTTAAAAATGGAGGGTGGACGTCCGGCTGGTGGGAGATAACGGAAAAGTGTCTTCATCAAATGCAGATATGGGATTTTTTTATTGCACGTGTGCTTGTGAGCCAAACAAACTCTACAAAGAGGCAGCAGGTCAGGTTTGTTGTTTGTCGGTATATTTGCAAGCTTAACAGGCTCAGTGATGAACAGCGAGCTTCACTTCTTCACAGCTGTATCAAGTTTAGAGGAAAACACACACACACACATCCATACCTGCATTACCAACAGTGGACTATCAAGCTACTGTATCCAAGTGTGGACCCATTTGTCTGGTCATTTTGAAAAAACTAAAATAGAATAGAACATTTACTTTTTACATCTACAGATTTCTGAGTATAAATTACTTTATTATTATTATTTTTTACCATTATTATTAATAGTATTATCCTTATAAGATGGCTACCTATTAAAAATGAGACTTCCATATTCTGTAGTGAGTATTTGTTGCACGAAGACATTTCTTTGTGAAACAAATATTACGAAAATAACACACACACAGTGTAACACCAGCCTTTCCTTGTTTTTAGTATCAGCTCTCCATTATATTTTTCTCCAGAGCTGCTAAAAAGCAGAAATGATGTAACAGGAAGCCGCGAGCTGCGACCCTCCACCTGCACACAGACGCTTATCAACAGCAGGCAGTCTGAATCCTTCGAAAGAGAAACACACACACACACACACACACAAAAATACACGTACACACATCTGAAGCACACACACAAATACAAAGGTTTTTCTAAAGGTTACATACACAAAAACAGATTCCGCCCACACACGCTTACACATATACACTACAAAGACACAAAAAGCAAACACGTACGAACACACTCACACAAAACAAACAGAGAAACACGACAAGCACACACTCAAATACACACATTAAGCCACGACAAGGGCACGCACACACAAAACACATACGAACCACAGTTCCATCACCGACTGACACACACACGCACACATACATATATATCTATATTCATCAACACATGACCTGCAAACATACAGATTCAAAGATACATAGACACATTCAAGGTCCTCAACACCAACACACGCACACACTAGATGCCCCCCCCATCACCCTTTACCCCCTACCCTCTCTCTCCCTCTCTAATGCCATAGTAATAGGGTTTTGTGGCTGTGTAAAGGGATTACTGCAATCCAATCAGGAGGTGCTGAGATCACCATGTGTCGACCAAACACTGAATAATCCCCTTACTGCCTGGGGGGGGGGCTTACAGCTGCCAAAGGTGCTCGACAAAAACCCCTTCGCAGTCAGCCATTGTGGCTGTGACGCACCATCTCTGAGCACCTGTAGGAAACAGCCGCATGCAAGCCGGGCGCCGCATGGGAGGTGACGTAATGCGGCGGCCATTTTGGATCAACAAAAGGGGGGAGGGGAAGTGGGACACTCAGCAGGGACAGGTGTCCCGTGGTGGACAGTAACCCAAGTATAGCTATAGAGTGTCATTTAAGTACAATTCTAAAGGACCTGTACTTCAGTATTTCCATCCTATGCTGTACTTTGAACTGCACTTCAGTTATTATACCGATACAGCAAGTGACTTTGTAGATTTAGATTTAACATGTCATCCTTAATTAATATACATAATTCATCACTATTAAAGTAGCTGACTGTTAGTGTGGCTCTTCATTGACCAGCTTCACCATTACAATGCTGCTTACTTGTTAATGCATAAGTAATAATTATCCAGTGATAATGTTACTACATTTACTTTGAAAACTCAGGCATGTAACTTGTACTTGTGGCTACATACATGTGAGGCTCTTTCCCTTTTAATGGAGTACTTTGACATTGTGTGACTGCAACTTTTACCTTTTATTTTGTGGTGATATTTAATATGTTAACATGTGATACGTTTCAAGTCTACAATCCCTAATAGCCTCCGCTGTTTCTTTTCGTTTCTGTAATAGCACATCTGTGCTATTTTCAGTCTGATCAAAAGCATCCGCATCAATTAAATTTGCACCGCATCAATTCAAGTCTTCCCATTTATGAATCTACAACAAACATGTAATTAATCATCATCAATCGATCTGCACCCATCCACCACATCAGTGGCTGCTGTCTTATTATTAGTTTTAAGGCTGACATCATCGTGATGCACGAGTCCGACCTCTCTGCCTCCTCCTCCTCAGCTGACCACATTACACTGATTTAACATCCATTTCCCGAAGCCCGCTCTTCCTACGACCATTGCCCGCAGGACCTATCAACTCTGCAGATCACATCCCAGCTGGCCCGGCTGGTGAGCTACGACAAAAAAACACCACCAACAAACTCCCAGTACAGTTAATCTCGACGGAGGCGCTCGCTGCAGCATCATCTGTAACACTTAATTTGGCCAGCAACAAAAGACAAGATAATGTGCTTTATATATAGAGTTGACTAATCCTCTTAAGACACAAGGAAGAGAGGATGTAGGGGGAGGAGGTGGTGGGAGGGTGGGTGAGGAGGGGGGTGCTCAGTCCCAGTCACATGGGACGAAGTAATACATTAACTCAGATAAGATCGTGAAAGCTGTTTCTCCTCAAATTAAAATCTGTGGGAGGATGATGACATGGAAGTTGCTCGGGGTTTTAGAAGAGGGAATTCTTTTTTTTTGGAGGGGGGGGGGGGGTGTGTTGGTGGAAGAGGTGGGGCACTGCAGCTCATCAGCCATCACGTTACTCCTTTCTTTCTTTCGAGGCCCGTGATTTTTATTAATCGCTCCACGGTTTTCAACATCTCGAGCGCGTGGCAGGGAGTTAGATGAAATATTTGCTTTTCTACGGCGGCGCTGCGCTTGTCTTGCTTTGTGATGGATTTAGTCTCACGCTGTGATGCTGCTGAAAAAAAAAAACCCGCCCCCCCCCCCCCCAACGTGTCCCGGTTTTGTTGCCTTGAAACTAAGCTCGGTCTCTAGTCGACATCGTGATGTGAATCTGAAATGAGCTCTCTTGTACGTGTGAATATTCTTTTGTATAACTGACAGCTAGAACTGCGAAGGACGACTTATGGGAAAAAAAAATAAAAATTATGGAAAGAATAAATGACAGACAGGAAGGAAAGGAGGCAGGAGGAGGAATGAGAAGTTCAAAGAAAAACATCATGAAAGAGAACAATGCAAAGAAACACGAAGAACTGAAAGAAACAGGGGGCGAGTAAAAGGTGAAGGAGAAAAATATGGATAGTACGAAAAGTACTGGAAGAAATAAATGATGCAATGAAGAAACAGAAAGGATGCAAGTGGAAGATGATTAGCAAACAGTGCAGAAAATGAGCAACGCGATGCAGGAAAACGAATGAATGAAAGACGGAGGAGGGATTACAAAAGGATAATGGCGGCAAATCCACAGAATATTTAGTAAAGAGGACGGCTGGTGGGCGATAAAAGACATAAAACTGCAATTTACCAGATTGTCACTGATATGTGAAAACCTCATACCTCCAGTTTTAGTCCTTACCATCTTTTAACTTCCTTCTGTATGCTGAGAAAACAAGGAGACCTTTCGGCTTCAGAAAGGCTCCAAAACCCAGCGGACATACGTAGTAAAAAAAAAAAAAAGCGTGGCATTTTGGAAATAGATGTTCCCCACTTGAGAATGGCATTATGCAACATCCCCTCGCTGTCTGATGTCTCTACTGTGGGAGGACAAAGACGGTCTGGACCAAACCGAGCTGTGTGTGTGTGTGTGTGTGTGTGTGTGTGTGTGTGTGTGGAGCTGTCCAAGGTGCTGGAACACACTTACAGCTCTGTGTGTATGCGTTACTGGATCGCCAGTTTCTCTTCCTTCACAGCCAAATTGCTGCAACTCGAAAAATGGAAGAAAAAAAAACCCACCACAGCTAAGAGGTTCACAGCTCCCTCACATTAACTGAGAATCACACATTATCACTTTCTGCGTTGAAGAGCATCCCGTGACTGACAAACTGCTCGCTCCCGTTTATTTCCTCGACGGTAAACACGCCGTCGACTTCCCATCGGCACAGCAGGAAGCTTAGTGTGCATTTGGACAGGTTTCATGGGTTTAAAACAGTTACGTTGTTCTTTATATGTGTTAAAACAAAGCTGTGATAGACTCACGAGACTCTGCTGAGTCACTGGATGTAGCAGAAAACGTTCTTCATGTACCATTGGATCCCATTATTCTGTAATGATTTGGCCATTTAATGCATCTACAGTCGGATATGGATCTTCCCCTTTCTCATATGGATCATGATCACTATTTAAGCAAATCAAACACAAATCAGGCTCGGAGACCTCTCACTCGCTGTCCCTCCCTCCCTCTCCCTCCATACTTACATCTTAAATACGTCTATACTGTCGATCTTTGTACAGCACTGATGCTGGGTCAAATACAGCATCAGGTCCAGATTCAGGACTAGTCATGGACTGTATGTGAGAAGTGGACGTAGCCATCGTAACATCACCCATTGGCTTAAGGCCTTCCATTACGAAGCCTTGAGTTTGGCCATTTGGCCGTCTCCATCTTGGAATGCGGCAGTCGCCATTTTTGCTTTTCTGCAACCAATGAATTGAAGTTATTATATCTGGACTGAGGAGGAGTGAGGTAGAGACGCAGTATACATCTCTGATAGAGATCTGTCAATCACAGTAAGCCCCGCCCTAAAGCATCCCCTGCTTTATGGTCTGTTTGACTCTAAATGGACCATAATGTACTAAATGAACATCATGCTGTATTGAAGAAGACTTGAAACTAGAGATTGAGACCATAAACTCATGTTTACAATGTTTACTGAGGTAATAAATCAAGAGAGAAGTAGAGTCATTTTCTCATAGACTTCTACACAAACAGAGGAGTCGCCCCCTGGTGGTCAGTAGAGAGAGTTTGCAGCCTGGGATTAGTCCAACAATTCTTCACACCAGAACAACAGCATAGGTTGTCAGGAATGTGAAACGTGGCCCCTGGTGTCAAAGTCAGGCCCAAGAGGCTCTGCAGGACGACAACAATGTCATGCTACGTCTCCCTCCTGCTTTGAGAAGGATTTGTCATTATTTGCAGATTGTTTAAAGCATCTCAACATTTGAAGGACTGATGATGTGATTTTCTTCTTCTTTGGTTACAATTTAGTGAGAGAAACTTGCCTACAAATGTGTCTCATGTGATAATGCCAGTGCCTCCTCACGAACAGGTGGCATTCATCAGGCTGAAACAGGACATTTGTTGAATATGACTGAGAACACTCGTACAAACAAGCCTCGCAGAAATAAAAAGCAAGAGATGTAAGGTAAGAATATGAAAAGTCTTTACACGAGGCCCATTGTTCATGCTAAGTGTCTTTGAGAGGATTTAAGTGGAATATCAGCATTCAAGGAGATATTCATCTCCATCACCTACACAAAATGTTATTATTCATCTCGGGCACATCAGACGTCCTCCCCTCACACCATTTACATATCAGCCTCTATATTATAACAAATGCAGTAATCACCCCGAGCAGACTGCGGCCCACACACCCAATGAACACTGAACGAGACGCGAGCAACACTTCACTTCATTCCTCTCATCTCTCAACGGCTTCGTCTGTTCCAGAGACAAAGCAAACGCACTCGAGGAAGGTCCTGAAAACTCTATTTCCATCCACGTGTTGGCCGCGGCGCATCAAAGACGCACGCATCACGTCCTGCTGTGGGTTTCGTTTGCCAGAAAAACACTTTAGCAGGTTCCGCGTAAGACAACAGAGCCTGCTCTCTCTGCGGTGGAAGAAGGGCTGCGGAGGGACTCGTTGTCTCCTGAACACAACTCTGGTGCTAGAATCTCAGGGGTAATTAGTATCTTTGTGCCTATTGAACACATCAAAAAGCCCACTCTGTCACATCTCGCCGGCAGCTTCATAATGCATGGAGGGGGGAGGTGGTGGTGGTGGGGGGGTTGGGATGAGGAGGTGGTGCTGCAGGTGCCGGGTGATTGAAGTGAATAGCTTTATATCGCAATTAAGGCGTCGCTCTGCGAGATTTTCCTCTGCAGGAAGGGAGAGGGTAAGAAGCCCGCCTATAGAAAAGTGTGGGTGTAATGAGATGTACAGACACAGGGAGACAGATGAGAGAGAGAGAGTGAGATGAAAATTAAAAGTGTGCGTGTGTGTGTGTGTGTGTGAGAGAGAGAGAAAAGAGTGCTATATGCAGACGAGACAGACCCAGAGAAGAAGAACACTGCAGCTCCACTGTGGTTTTAGAAAGAGATGAACGGTTTTGAGAGGAAAGAGAAGAAGGAGATGGGATGTTTTGGATAAAAAGGAAATGTGCAAAATCTGTGGCAGCTGTTTGGAAAGACAGACAACCGACCCAACATTACAGTGTTTACTTGATTTGTCTTCTTGAGTTATGATTGGATCTGAAATGCGTCTTACTGTGAAACATCTGTATCTTGTACAGCACTTGTTACTGAGGGAAGAACCAAATTATTTATGTAAACAAATTTCACCTTTGGGATTCGGGGGTTATTCATTTATGTGTTTTGCTCTAACCACTTAGCAGAAAGTGACATTCATCCCCCCAATGTAGTTTATAAAGCAACACAGAAGCTGCGTTCATGGGTTCTGGGAGCGTTTGTCTTTTATGTTCTTCACAATGTTCAAAGAAATATGTCGATTTAAGAGTTGCTGCGTCCGTCTCGTCCTCGCAATTCATCAATTTTTGTTGCAATTTATGGATGTCGCAATTGTTCTGCCTCTAGCAGGCAACTATTTCGTTCCTATTTGTAATCCTGCCGACACAGCTCTGATTGGCTTGTTTTGTTTTTTCAGTGAACTCAAAACAAAAGCTAAGAGTTGGAGTTGAAGTGGAAGCCTCCTTCACAATGTACTTTCCTTCTCTAGTATTCCATAAAGTCGGGGTCAGACTTTGGATGTGCAATACAGGAAGTGGGTGGATTAGATTTACACGATAACGTCTGTCTAAGACTCAGTGTACAGGAGCAGGACTCTCTACCATCTCAACAGAAGACTCACCAGGATCATGTGACCGGTGGAGATGTCCATGTTGGAGTGGGCGGGCTCCTCGCTCCAGGAGGAGATGCTGCTCCGCGCCGAGGGGCTCACGGCCGGACCGCCGTCGCTGAACTGAGACGACACGCTGTTGATCCGGGAGGACATGGGCTCCGGACGCTCGGACGGAGGTTTGACCGCCATGCGCTGCCGACAGAGCTCCTGCAGGAGGGAGAGGAGGGGACGGGTGAGTCATTGTTGTCACACAGTTGGGGACTTGATACAACTATAAGACAGTTCTATAAGAACTATTTCATTTGAAGAATGTAAATCAAACACCTCACAGTCAACACTGTCGCCTTGCTAAAATAATCATGATCATTATCTTTTTGGTCAATGCAATAATAATCAAATGTTATCAAAGGCTGGGGAATTGCCAATCTTCTTTATATGTCAAGTATGCCAGTCAGTGTCTCAGCAGCGAGTACAATGTCTTCATTCAGCCGCCGTCATTTCTCCGTCTGTTGGATACGCGACCACAATGAAACGGTGACACCAGCTCGGGGTTTTTTCCTGCCACGCCTTCTCAACACAACTCCGAGCAGCAACGTCAGTGAGCCGCAGTGAAAGACGGCGCCGAGACAATTACAAAGACAACGTTCTAAACATAGAGCTGCACATTTCTACTCAATCCGCATGTTGGAGGAGGACCGCAAAGCCCAATGAGACTCATCCAACAATGTGATGAAGGAGACGTGATTGAATGCGACAACATTCAATCACGTCTCCGGAAGAGACATTTCACCGACCAACTGATGGACTGACATTACTTTCCCATATGGAACAAACTAAATCATTTTGTTGCCTAAACATAACCAAAAGTTTTGGTTTTGTTTCATTTTCATTGTCATTTTCAGCCAAAATGTTTTACTAAACGTATTTTGTAGTGTTTTCTGTTTTGTTGTAATTGTGTAGTCATTCTAAACCAAACCATGATGTTTGTTTTTTCTAAAACTAACCAAGTAGTTTAGCAGTTTAAGCGTTTTCTGTTCTGTTTAGACTCCAACATTAACCTCATATTTCTAACCGGTTTAAACTGGGACCACAGTCTGGAAGGAAATATGTTTCTTTCCTAATATTACTGAGAGAGCATATTTGTTGTATGAGAACGTCATTTTGTGGGAGACGGGGTGAGACAATAAGCTTCCAAACGCCCAATCTATTCTTTGTTATCGTGGATAAGCAGCAACAGTGAAGTCTGAAGGGACACAGCAGAGAATGTGACCCGTCACATCCTCCACATGTGAAACCAATCACCCGTCTACAAGGACACTGAGCGCACCAGAGGAGCTGGAGCTGAAGCCTGTGTGGGGGATCCGTGTCTCTTAATGAGAGCCATGCTGACGATTAACTAACAGGCCCGTCTGATTGACGGTGGAGGTAATGCGAGCGGGCCTTCATTAGCTCGCACCCGATCTGACTGATATCCTCGTAGGCCGGCGCGCTGACACTGATCTATGAGCACAGACTCGTACATGTGTGCTGATTATTAAAGTGCTTCAGTATCCGGCAGCTCGGCCGGACGGGTGGGAGGCGAACGCCGACGTGTGAACAAAGACAAACACTGCAGGAAGCACTGAACCACAGCTAGATATACTCTGCAGTGCTGCGTCTACAGACCCAGTTACTAACGGACCTTTTAGTCCTTGTGTTCTCTAAAACGTCCGTGTTTGGTCAGCTCACAACAGTTAATAAAAGTGACAGAAAATGATTTAACTCAGGTAATCATTTAAGTCATTAAATCAAGAATAATGACAAACATTTGGATTCTAAATGGATTTATCAGATTTCTTTCTGGGTGACACCTGACCTTCTTGATTGTTCACTTTTCTATTTGATCATTTTCAAGCCAAAACTTTCGAGGCTTTCAGTCTTTTGAAATCTCATCAGACGAGGAGGGAAAAGCATCTGCAGCGTGGTGGAACATTAAAGCTCTCCCTTCAGCCCGTTCTTGGCAAAGACGATCAAAACGTCCGTCGTTCCAGTCGGGAGAGGAGCCTCCACCGTCCCAGCTGTGGGTCACGCTAACCCGGTCATTTTGGGATGTTTAATAAAAAGCCAAATATTGGTCTCTATAAAATGGTCGAACCCCTTCTGGCTGTTAAATGTGCGCCGGCGTCAGCATCCTCGGCAACACGGGGCCCAATCAGCACAAAGCACTGCATTGTGGGTGTTTTGTCTTGGAGGGAAACACATGATCAATAGCGTTCATATTTCAACGAGCCCACACGGTGAACTTTTGCCGCCGCAGCAAATTCTTTTATGATGTAATTAAAACTGATTCAGAATCCCCCCCCCCCCCCCCCCCGGGAGCCAATTAGAGGACAAAAAAGGCACAAAAAAAACCTTGAAGGAATAATATAACCCGGGACAGGTTGAGAGTCTAAACAGCACAGATTTACGGCGCCTCTGGAGTCCTGCTTCCACACAAACACAAGTATCTTTATTTACAGTGTATTGATTTTCAACCGCACGTACTTCATCAGGTGGCGCGACGCGTCAGGTGAATCACCGAGCTTTATGGTGCGGATGAGACGCTGGTGTGCATTCTCCAGCTTTGCCTCAGTGTTGCCTGTTGTTTCATGCTTCTTAGTGACAAAGTAGGTGAGACTCTCAAGGAGACCGGCAACAAAAGCAGTCTTGTCTCTGCTAACTAAGTGTGGCAGCAACGGAGTCTAGTAGTTCAACAGAATCACTGATTTTGGTTTTGTCATACCATCGTATTTTTAGAAATTGGCTGTATTTTAAGTTACTGTTAATACATTTTGTCAAAAGTTATTGTTGCGGTATAGCGTGCTGAGGCGGTTTTGGAAAAAAAATCCTCATTGTTGGTGCGTTCAAGGATATCTGGTAGTTCAGTCTCTGTCCAAAAACATTCAAATGCAACAAATGAGAAAATGATCCAGGACGTCCATGTTAGCTAAAGTCTTTGTTTTCTGGATTTCATTTTTCTGACAGCTAATGAAAAAATAAATGTGTTTTTTGGGGGTTTTTTCAAAGACGTTGGGGGCATCCATTCTCACAACTGCATTAAGTTTGACAATAGAAGCAGATAAATGTTCCCCATGATGGATTACCAATCACTGGAAAGCTTCAAGTCTTTTCAAATTGATTTGTTAAAAAACAATTGAAATTGATGAAAACAAATGTCCGTCTGGAAGATAGAAATATCCATCTGACGATGTACGGCAGCACTTGACATAAATGACGTGATTGTTTCTAACTCATTGGTATGCAACAGATGAGGTCATCATCTTGCTTGAGGCCACGTCGCTGCTGAATGATGGAAAGATTGTCAGAGATGCTATTTATATATTCATCAGTTCACATTTCTCTTCCTTCTGAACAGCCAACAGGAGTTTTCTTTACTGCATCTCCTGAGTTTGTGTGATCAGTGCCCCCCCCCCCATCCTTTGCATGAATAAAGGTTAAAAGACCCCCCCTCCCAACAGCCCCCTTTCTCATGGGCATCATGCCAACTTGGCGCCACACGACCGTCCCGAATCATGCATCACCCTCGGGGGGCGACGGCGGCGGGTCGCTGATGGGAGACGTGTGCCACCCGAAAGCGACGCCCTTCTTTATAAAAGCCCGCTAATGGAGAGGAAGACCGGGGTTATGGGGGGGGGGAGGGGGGTCGGGGTGTGTCAGCAGGGCCCACGGGGGCGCCTCTGTTTACATACTCCTTCTGACCAAAGAGAGCTTTAGCTCTGTGCTCCAACAAACAAACAAAATAAAAGGGGGGACGTGATACAATACGGTGGAGTCGAGGGAGAGGGGGGGGTACTGATCACAGTATGTCTGGACTTCTGAATGCTTGGATATATTCAAATGCAAAATAAAACTTCTGGATTGTGGAGGTTTGTGCAAAAAATGAAATGTAAGATCTTTAATATAAATTGTATTGCATTGTTGATGAGTTCAACACATTTAGATCAGTTTAACTCTGAGTTTATGTGACATCCTGCTGGATGAATCTCTGGCTGCAAAGGACACGACAACATTCTTTAATACTTCAAATCAAAAGGTTTCACTTAAATCAGTTCAGGATTAGAACATGAGACGAGCAGCACAACCCTGATTACCTGTGTGATGTGAGATTAATGAAATCAAATTCTATCCGACGTATTAGTGGTCGACGACGCCGACTGGAAACGACTGACTGGTCTGATTTTTGATGAGAAGTTGTTATCAGAAAACTGTTGTGTTTGTCCGAGAGCAGGAGAGAGAAGACAGGAAATAAAAAACTGAATTGAGAGAGAGAGAGGAGCGTAGGAGCGTCTGGGAACAAGTGATATTGTTTGCTTGTTTAATCTAAACTGAGTAGTATTGGAAACGTGTTCTGCACCTTCTTTGGCAGCGTGGAGACGATGTTATCGTGTCTGTGAAGTCCCAGTGAAGAGAAAACAGACTCGTGTCCTAAACATTTGAGACAATATGAAAATATGTTGAGATATCTCCACTAGTTTCACCGCGTTAACAGAAATGTCACGGCGCAGGTGATGACATCTTCAAATAGGACAATATTGCTTCGAGATAATATCTCTTGATTTGTGGAAAAGTTCCAGCGTGTATCTCGTGCGACGATCTCGGTTTCTTCTACTTCGAAAGGAAAAAAGAAAGACTTTCGAGGGAGCAAATAAAAGTTTGGATCAGATGTGGAAGATAAAGCGAAGGCGACGTTGTGGACTCCCGTGTCGGCGGCAGAGTAATCCAGGGACCGACTGACAGACGGACGAGCATCATCCCCCGCCCCCCCCCCCCCCCCCCCCCCCCGCCCAGGCACCTCGCACACGCTCCTCCGTCGACGCCCGTCAATCAATGTCTCCTTTGTCAGCGTCGGCCAATCCCATGTCACGGTTTCACCGGGACCGCTTGATTGACAGGAGCTTGAAGGTGGAGGGGGCCTGAGAGGGAGCTAGTGGCTCCGGTGATGTGAATGGAAGTGTGTGTGTGTGAGTGTGTGTGTGTGTGTGTGCGTGTGTGTGAGTGTGTGAAGTGAGGCTGCAAAACAAACGCGCAGAGGGGCGAGAATCATTAACATGCACTAGTAGGAGGGCGAGTGTGCGCATGAATATATGTGTGTTTGTGCACGTTTGTGTGTGTGTGTGTGTGTTTGACAGCATGAAGGAGGACGCAGTGGAAAGGCCGTCAGGCAGCCTGCCGCTTCCTGTCTGCTTTAATTGCATGTAGCCAGAGGGACTTTACACACACACACATACACACACACACACTCACACAGACAGAATCCAGCCCAGGGAACCCCCCCCCCCACACACACACACACCCCCTCCCTCCAGCACAGCGGCGCTGACAAAGAGACGAGGCTTACACGGCTAAGATGGGAGCTGAACACTGAGGCCTTTCACCGAGGAGGATGACGACGGCTCGCTGTCGAGACTCGATAAAGATGACAGAGAGGAAGAGAATCAACTGGGAGAGCTTTTTGGGAGCCCGGGCAAAGCGGGGCGAGTAAACCTCCCTTTTTGTTCGCTATTAACCAGAAGAATATTGCATAAACACAAGACTCGTGAATTTTAATTAGCGTTTTCCAATTAGAGGCTTAAAGCGAATCTCGGAGGCAAGGAACCGTGAAGATAAGTTGCTCATGCTGAGGAAAAAGCAAATATTTTAAGTAGACAGGAGGGTGGATCATTTGACACGTCAGACTTTCAGAAACAGTTTCTTCTTTTACTTGGAAGTTAAATCTTGTGTCCTTTTATCTTTTTTTTGTTTTTAACGTTTCCATCTTCTGCCTCATCGGTAAACAATAGATTAACAATGTGAATCTCTACAAGTCCCCGGGGTTGAGGTAAACCTCTGACGAGGCAGCACAGTCTATTTCAGGAGTTAAAAATCCCCGGAGGAGAGCATCAAATGTAAGCACTTAGGGGATGGGCTGGGCTCATTATAAAATCAATGCCCACAGGACCACTCTCATTTAAAAACATGGCGTGGAAAAGGTCAGAGAGAGAGAGACGGAGAGAGACGGGAAATATCTCCAATCTGATGCTTTGCTCAAAAAGCCACTTAATATTGGATTCTGTAAATTAAATTTCACACCCGGCTATTTGGGCCAAAGGATAATTACAGCAAGCAGAGAGAAGCATGGGGGGGGGGATGACTTTGGGGTGGGAAAACCTGTTGGATTGGTGATATCGCTTTATGTGTCAAACAACACATAATAGCAGGGGACCGAGCACAGTTGGCCATCAATCTAGTTCTAGCAGTATAAAATAAGAGCTGTTGATTGGGTTGTATCACTGACACAGTAAAAGGTTGCTTTCCTCTTCACCCGACCGCCAGACCCAAAGTAAAAAGCTTTTAGCCACCAGCTCTAAAGTACGTGAGGTAAAGTACGGCGCGTCATCTCGAAGCATTATCTAAAAAGGGACTTTCAAATCCACAATGAAAAAAGTGAATTCATGAGATACATTACACATTCATACTTGATTTGTATGAAACAAACCAGTGGCTGCAAGACACATCTGAGGAGATGATTAACTGAATAGAATAGCAGAAATAACATATTCCTCATATGCTAAATGATGTCATATATTTTTTAGACTCTCCTGTTATATTCTTTTTCTTACCCAGTGAAGATACCATTACCTCTACAGATAAATTCAAATAAATCAAGAGAGACATTCACTCTTTGGCAAAGTAGTTGTGTTGCCTAAACCCATAGACTGTGTATAAGAGATGGACGTAGTCACCGTGACGTCACGCATTGGTTTGTGGCTTTGAGACCGAGAGCTCAGAATTTATGCCTTCGGCAATTTGTTTTTCTGGAACCAGAAGTGACGGAAGAGGGCGGAGCTAAGAACCATCGAACGCTGAATTCAACTTTCATGAAGTGACGCACTGTGAAAGAGTTAAAGTTGTGAGACGAAAACACGGACAACTCCCAGACTGGACAATGCTGTGGCAGCAAAATGTCAATCACCGTGTAGCCCCGCCCTAAAGCATTCCCTGCTTTATGGTCTGTTTGACTCTAAATGGACCATAATGTACTAAATGAACATCATGCTGTATTGAAGAAGACTTGAAACTAGAGATTGAGACCATAAACTCATGTTTACAATGTTTACTGAGGTAATAAATCAAGAGAGAAGTAGAGTCATTTTCTCATAGACTTCTATACAACCAGAGGAGTCGCCCCCTGGTGGACACTAGAGAGAATGCAAGTAAAGTCACTTATTATTGACTTCACTTTTCAGAACCCGAGGTTGCCGCCTGCCTAAACCTAACCAATTATTTAACAACGTTAAACATTTGTTTCTTCCATACCATCCCTAAGTTATAAAAAAAAACCCCAATCTTTTCAGTTCAAATTCACAAACGGCGCTGAAGCACTTCCTACCTGATAGGTGGCGGTAGCATCGCTGCCAGTATCTGTCCCCAGATTGGTGAGCTTCTGTTTGAGCTTGTGGTGGGAGCGGTGGCGGAGGCAGTAGACCACGGTGGAGGCCAGCAGCACGCCGACGATGCACAGGATGGACACGACGGTGAGGACCAGGAACTTGGTCGACTCCGCCTGGCTGTACTTGGTGGGGATCTGGTCGATCTGGCTTCCCTGTGGGCCACAAACGAACAGATAAAAAGGGTTAATAATATGTTTCTATTATTGCTCTTATCGGAGGTAAGTGGCTCCTTGTGAAGCTCAACAGGCAGAGCGTGGTACTCTTTGATTCATCCAGCATGCTTAGAATGTCTGCGCTCATGACGGTGGAAGAAGCTGCAGGAGTGTAAAACTACGTACCTAAAAGTATGCACACTTCCCTTCCATCCCCAAATAACTATGAGAGGGGATGTCACTGATCAATCAAACAAGAGGAACTAATCTGCAAAATCATCTGCTGAAGTGTTTGAATGGAACATCCCGGGATTAAAGCATTTTTGGACCAAACGGTCCAAAAAACAAGACTCTTTGACAGAAATCTATCCGAACTCCCCCCCCCCCCCCCCCCCCCCATCAAAGAAACCAAAAAACCAAAGCGTTTGATTCTACACCAGAAGATGAATGTGTAAATCACATGTTTCTTTTATTTCCTTTTTGGGAAACAACATAAATATGCATATCACTGCGCTCGATGAAAACTATAATCACAAGCGTTTGTTCCGCCATCTGTGCTCAGGAGTGGATAGAATGCTTAAACTCCCATCAGGCAAAGCATTCTGCCCAGACGGCTCAACACACCGCTCGCTATATTGGAGGATTTTTTTCTGTTGTGAGCGGAGGTCGACAGACAGCTCGGCCCTCTTGAGCAGGTGCCTCCCCCAATTCCGAACCTCGGCGGCACTTTTAAACGTGAGAACCAGATCCTTCGGCAAACAAAACTGGAGATGAAGGATTTATTTTCACGCGGACCGCTGCTTAAGATGACACAGTGGATGCACACTGTACGATACAACAACAAAAAAGTCCGTTTGCATCTTGAGTGCCTGAAAAACCAGCACGGCGATAATTTGAGCTGAGTACTAAGAGTTAACAATAGGCTCCATCGTTTCCCCATTATTACACACCGCGTAATGATCCTGACAACAAAGAGCGAGGCGAGAACCAAGAGATAAGAGCTACAAATTGCACCGCCAATGCTAAGGCCTTACAATTCCTCCTGACCAGAGTTATCTAAAGAAATCAATAGCAAAAGCTTTTTCTTGACTCTGCTTTATCTCTGCAGCACGGTGAAAGAGAAATTCCCCATCTTTTATCCATCATTTGCTTGCCCTGATTGTAATTTGTGTGCTGCACATTCAGATGTTTTTTGTTATATTTGTGCCAGAGATGAGTGTTGAGGAAAGGTGCTCAGAGAGAGAGGTTCGTCCCCGTCCCTCGGTGGTGGAGGACGCAGAGATTAGACGAGGTGCGGCGTGGTGAGTTAATGGAAAGGAGGCTTTGAAAGCGGTCGGGGGAGAAAGGGGTCAGCCTTGTCCAATCCCTCCTGCCTTGCCCCGTCAGCACAGAGAAACCCCAGAAACCCTGGGAGGTGGGAGAGAAAGGGCCGCTCCACCCTGCACACGGATTGTCCTGGAATTCTTGTGAGGTTTCGGGGGAGTGACCCCCCCCCCCCATCCCCCCATGATTTCATTCATTGCTGCCTCCGCATTCAGCACCTGATAAAGAGTGCCCGCAGAAAGACCCACAATGGGGGACAACAGTTGTCCGATGCTTTGTGGGGCGTCCAATTTGCTCGGGGGAGCTCTGAGCCGTACTGTAAGAGCTGGTTGCATAGTAATGTGACGGCCTTGAAAGGGAAACAGTGGGCGTCTCTGACCGTGGGCGCTGCGCTAAAGACCGTTCTCTCACTGCCACGGAAGACGATATGAAGAAAAATAAGGTGAGAAATCCTGGTCTGGAGTACAGAACACATAAAAGATTCATCTACTAGTACCCGCCAGTTTCTGCTGAATACATCAGTCATCAACATAATGCAAGGGGTGCTGTTCGTGTTAGATGTGTACGGCTGCAGATATCAATATTGCATTCGTTTGTGTGTTTAATGTGTCTTTTTATTAATGCGGTCTTAATGTAAAAGATCGCAGCAGAAATATTGAAGGAGCGTCATAAACAACAGTAGCTGAGCGGTAGCCGGTACGCGGCGTGGGCTTGGCAGGCCCATTAATAATGCATTACTGCTGATTCCACATGCTTCCACTGCAATCATCTTTCTGCAAAATGTATTTTTTTTTTTATAATTTATTTTTTTATACCACGGATCAATTGACTTCATTTGTCATTTTACTCCCCGAGTCGTCTCATTGTTTTGTCAAATTAAGTTTCATGGGGAGGGATTTGCGTCGTGCTCGGCTAGTAATGGCCCATAATTCAGGGCGCTAACTGTAACAGCTCAGTCATCTTTTCACGGGACAGATGCCGGCGTTTCCAAAGCCTCACACACACACGCACACACACACACACACTCACACACACGCACACGCACACACACACACACACGGTCTCTTTATCATGGATGCCTCGCACGTCTATTGATTCAAACAAATGTAGCCTGACCCCACCTGCATAATCAAGTTTGGTTGCAGTTGTTAGTAACAGTAGAGGGGGTGGAGGAGTGCGTGTCGTTGAGTGAGAGAGAGAGGGAGAGAGTGAGACAGAGAGTGAGAGAGTGAGAGAGAGATAGTGAGAGTCTTGGGGGTGTATATTAGATCGCAGCTATGAAAAACGAGCCAGATGTAGCAGAAATGTGCAACGATTGAAAACCAAATGTTTGGGAGGCGGGACATTCACACACGAGCCAGTAACACAGCGGAGCGTTGGACGGCCATGTGTGCGTTACACCATTCTTATACTCTTGCCATGAGCGTCACCTGTTTCCTGACGACGGGAGGATCTGCCGCTCCGAGGCCTTTCCTGACTCTGTGGTTTTTAACACTTTCTATCAAATTACACGTCGAGGGTCTTGAGTGGAGAACTGCAGCTCAGCGGAGAGACATGAAAAGGAAATGTAACATTTGGTACATTATAGGTTAATATAGGAATAATCATTTTTGACTTTTGCTTTGATTTGGGGCCTAAAAGCAACACAGCCAGAATGAAGAATGAAGTAGCACTCCAGACTTCAATCATGGTTCAGATGTCTTATTTAAAAATGATTCTTATTAAATGATAGCAAACAGAAACTCCAGTTTGCTTCTGGAGGAGAATCAGACGTTTCGATCGAGTCAATTTGAGAGAGCGGCAGAAAATGAAATGAAAAATATTGTGTCCCCCCGGAGGGAAGAGGGGAGAAGCAGGGAGTTTCTTTTCATGCCTGCACCTCTATTGTCCATCTACCCCATGCACAAGTGATTGTACTTGCAAATTTCCCATTTCACATGGGCCAACGTGGTTTAACATACAGCGCGCAGCTCCTCCTGACTGAGAGAAAGAAGCATTAACATAGCCCGTCAAGGATGCCGGCTGCTGGCTGCACACGCTGCTGGGTTCAGCCCTTTTTCAGCAAATATCAGACACACTCCCCACAGACAAGACAGGCGTCTCCGAACAGGAGGGAGGGGGTGGTGGGGGGGGAGAGACCCTCAGAAAAAAAGAGAGGGAAAATAAACGTCTTTTACCGTTTTTCTCCTCTTTTTGATTTACATTTTGCATTCAAATCGTCTCCTCTTTGACCTCCATCCACGCTTATAGTGTGATCGTGTAGGTTTCATTCTGATATATCTGCTGAGCTTCTACTACGAAAGAAAATGTTCAAGTCAATTCAGAAAAAAAGAAGGAGGTGGTAGAAGTGAATAATGTGTGCAGTATTTTGGGGGGTTTTGAGATGGAGGGTTTGGTGATGGAGGGGTTAGGTCTCCTGGTTAGGGTGTGTGTGCGTGTGTGTGTGTGTGCGCGTGTGTGTGCGTGTGAGTGTGAAGGGGGGGGGGGGGGATTAGCCAGGCTCCCATAGACAAAAGGCAGATGGATTTGCACGGCTCTGGCTTATTCAGAACGGGTGAAGAAAGGTCAGAGGGAGAGCGGCGGCCGGCTATTGTTTTCCTCCACGACGACCGCTGCAGGAAACAAAGATCCGTCCCTCACCTCTGATTCATCCCGGGCCTTAGAAAAAAAGTTCAGCCGGGGGTTTTTAACAAAAACCTTTCGAAACAAGCACACAGGAACATTAACGCGCTCACACACACACACACACACACACACACACACACACACACACACACACACACGTAAGTATTTGTATCTGTTTCTAAAATGCAGAATCACAATTTGATACGCTCACACCAGCAGGTGCACACTTGTACACACTCGTGCATGCTGCACCCACACAAATGCACAAGTCCTCACACACTAAAAAAAACCTGAAGTGCTATAAAATGCCGACATTTTCCTCACTGAAAATGATCTTTCATCAACGAATCTAACAGAATGACTTCATTTCCCTGCATATGCTTTTTCATTCCCCTCACATCTTCGCCAGACGAACACAGAGCGACTCCATCTCTCAGTGATATCACACACACTGCACACATATGAGCACACTCCTCCGAGTTGAATACCGCTTGCGACGTTTAAATCAGAAAGCACAACGTGATTTAAAGTTCAGCTCTCCGCAGCTGGAGGGACGATAAAAAGCAGCGGTGGATCCCCGTTGGACGGAGCGTTATTACAGCGTTACGGTGAGATGCAGCTGCGTGGAGCCCGTCGACCGGGGCGCGCCGCCAATCAGTGTCCCGACTCCACGGAGACTCCCACACCTCTCAAACACCTTACAGGACCGCACGACACTAATCAACTACATCAGGAAAGCATTTCAGACAAAAAGAATGAATTTGGCTGCAACAAACTATAATATGCAATGTTTTGTGTGCGTAAAAATGTGCAGCCCCCCCAATCCAACATGAATGAATGAAGAGAGGAGCAACAGCAGGAGAGACTCGTCGTCTTTGGCGTTTGGTAAAGATGTTGGTGTTAAATGGCAAGAAGGGTGAACAGCATGAGGTTATCAGGAACACTAGAGCACATCAGCATGCAGAACAACAATTCAATCCTACCAAAAATCCATGGTGAGGTAATGCAACAGACACCTCCTCCCGCGTCTATTCCCCCATTCCAGTCCGGCT